GGCTGTTTGATGGAGCTGCTCAAGCAGCAGGAGCCAGCAGCACCCCGAGATGCTCCCAGCCCTGGCAGTGAACACGACAGCACGGGATGCTGGTGGTCACAGTCATGACAGCACGAGATGCTGGTGGTCACAGTCCCCACAAGATGGATGCCAGTTCTTCCCTCCAGCCTGGGTGCTGGGGGAACAATGCAGCCGGCTGCAGGCTCCCGGGATGAACCCCAGGGGGAGGATCCCCGCCCTGGGGGGTTCAAAGCCCCCCCGGACACCAGCCTGGCTTCCCTCGGCAGTTAGCTGCCTGCCATTTCAGAGATGTCACCAGACATCTGGGAGGGGACAGCCCTGGCCAGTAGCTCTTAAACTTACTAACTCTGTCGTCACGTGCTGGGTGAAGCCGATGGGGGCAATGCCATAGGTGCCGATCACCAGCAAGGTGATGAGGATGTGGACGAAGGTGATCCAGTATGTGAAATACGGCCTGCGGAGGAAAGGACCCTAAAATGAAGCAGTTCAAGGACGGCTCCTCCAAGCCCCGATCCCCAAACATCGAGGGGGACATGAATCTGAGCTACAGCTGGGGAGCCCCGAGGAGCCCCGTGCCCATCCCTGTCCCATCGGTCCCCCTCACCGGTGGCTGTCGGTGATCTCCAGCTGCGACTGCACGATGCTGCTCAGGCTGCGGCGGTACGTCCTGTTCAGCCACTTCCCCACCACCCCCAGCCCGTAGTAGCGTTTCTTGCGGTCGAAGGCAAAGTGCTTCACTTTAGAAGCGATGCGCCTGCCTCGCCGGGGAGCCGCGCCGGTGTTGGCGGAGGCTGAAGCAAGCCGGACACCTTCCCGCCTGCAGAGAGAGGAGAAACCCATCACACTTGCCGAAAGGGGCCAGCTGGGAAATACCCCATATGTGACCCCGCAGCTGCAGTGTGGAGCTGGGGCAGGCTAGAGGATGCCTGGGATGAGGGGTACGGGCACCTCTCGGCTTCATCCGAGGAGCTCGCTGGAAATGCCCAGCGCCCCACAGCAGGGATAGCTGGGGACATTGTCCTGATGGGCAGGGGACCGGGGCAGTGCCTGCAGAGAGCTGGTACTCACGGGGTGGGCTGCTCCACCTCGGGGGATGCCCTGGCATCCTCCCCGACCGGGTGCATCCGTAAGTAGGTGGCTGACAGAGGCGGTGACTCGAAGACATCATCAGGCATGGAGTACGTCTCATCGTGCATGTCCATCTGGAAGGAGGACGGAGCCCTTCTTGGATGCATGTGATGGGTGAGAAACCTCCCGCTGAGCGAGAGTGCCCGTCACCAGGCCAGCCCGGCTCCACCTGGCCCCAGAGCCTGGGGAGGGGGGGGATCCCCGTCAACATCCCCTGAACTGCCTGTCGCAGGGTGTGACACGTGCCCACGATGGCGGCATTGCTCCCTGCCACCCCCAAGGAGCATCCCCCAGACCAAGACTGGGGCTCTGCAGCGCTGGGCACAGCGGCCACCAATGTCGCTGCTCCCAGGGCAGGGCGAAGCACCAACACCAGGGTCCCCATCAGAGCCCCACTCCACATCCAGCCCCCGTGCAGGGACACTGGGCCCCCCCCGCTCCAGCGGCCGGCGTGGAACGGCGCTTGCCTTACTGAAGAAGGACGAGTCCAGGGTATCGGCAGCATCCGCTGTGTCCTCATCCATGAAGCTGGGGTACACGAAGCTCCTCTTGTTGCTCCTCCGCTTGGGAGCCAGTGGCTCCAGGACAGAGCGTCCCTTTGGCAGGGGAAGCAAACGAGGGTGAGCAACCAGAAGCCTCCCAGTTTTTGCAGCACGGAGGGTTTCTTGTAGCCTCCCACCCCAAAGCCAAGCGGCAAGCACTAAACCCCAACCAGCAGATGCTGCCTTTAGCTCCTGAGAGCCAGGGTTGGACCACAACCACGTTAGTCAGCACTCTAAATCCCCTCCTCGGTCTCGGTCCCACAAACCCAGCCCCGAGGCTTGCCCAAGGCTAGAAAGCCGCTGGAGAAGCTTCCTGGCTCCTCATCAGTGAAACCCAGACTCTGCTTTTGTCTAGGGGTGCCGTGCAAGGTAGATCCACTTTGCTGGTCCAGTTTTCACCAAAACCTCTTTTTAAGCAGAACTCAGGTTAAAAAAAACCAACCACCCTGCTCAAACCTGAGGGACAGCGATCCCTGTGCAAAGCAAGAAACCAAGAAGCAAAGGAGACGGGCGAGGGACAGAGCTGAAACCCAAGTCAGGGAAGAAGACGACATCCCAAAACTCACACGGAGAAGTGCTGCGGCCGCCTTGAAGCTCATGTGGGCGACGGATTCCCTCTTCCTGCGCGGCAGGCGGCCGTAGCCCGAGCGGACGCTATTGAAGGACGCCAAGGAGGCAACGCCGGGGGTGGTGGGAGGCAGGATTTGGGGGGGGGTGTGGGGACGGGCAGGCTCATCAGGATGGCGGAAGGGACGGCCCCTGGCCAGCGGGTCCACGATCTGGAAGAGAGAGAGGTGTCAGCGCTGGGAGAGCAAGGCTGCGGGCTGGACCCCGCGCCCCGACCTCTACCTTGGGCATCTTGGCGGGCTTGGGTGACTCGGTGGCTTGGAAGGAGGGCACCTCCTGGCTGGGCAGCTCCAGGTCGCGGTAGGCAGGCTTCAGCTTGCCGTACCTCA